CCTCCAAGGGTTTCTGTTGTTACTTTTTCCCAAATGAGACATTTCTTTTTATTTGGGCACAGCTGTGCTCCTAATTGTTACCTCTCCTCCTTTCCTGTCTATTACTTCGCTAGGATTTGGGTCATAGTTTGGAGACTGTTTGTTAGTCTTCGAGTTCTGCAGGAGTACTTATCTCCAACCTCCACTTCACTTGCAACAGCAATCCTCTTTGCATCAACATACTCTTTCTACGATAACTTCCTTGACCAGTCTCGATCGCGGACTTCCTCATTAGTGATAGGTGCCTCCCTTCGTGGGTCTGGCAACTTTGACCGCATTTCCCTTCCAAACATCAGGTAGAAGGGTGTTGCTCCAGTTGTCATCTGAGGAGTTGACCTATATGCGGTTAGGGATGTCTGTAACTCTTGACACCAATCTTTCCCCTCAATGTGAGCTATCTGGACTGACTTCATTAACGTGCGATTCTGACGCTCTACTTCCCCATTGGCCTGCGGCCATAGGGGAGTTGTTGTGCGGTGTTCTATCCCATTTTCTGCAAGGAAGGCTTCAAACTCTTCAGATACCAGTTGAGGCCCATTGTCAGTCTTGAGTGTATGCGGCACTCCAAACCGGTAAAATAGTGGTTTTAGAACTTCAGTGATTCTTGTGTTAGAAGTTGACCTCAAAATAACCACTTCAAAATATCTACTAAAATAGTATACCACCACCGGTAAACTTTCCCCTGAAGGTAAGGGACCCAGAATGTCAGGTTGTCAAGTGGTCAGTGAATATGCTCCCCCAGAACCTATTGCTCGAGCTTTTCCTCCCAGTGGCCCTTAAGAAGATTGCGCAACCATGGAAACTCCTGCACAGCTTCTCTGCATCAGCATCCATCTTGGGTCACCATACTTTACTGCGCAGTCTACATTTTGTTTTAACAATACCCTGGTGTCCCTCGTGGGCCAACTCCAAAACACGCGGTCGCAATTCTCGGGGAATCACAAGCCTGGAACCTCGTAAAAGCAGACCACCATACGAACACAATTCATTCTTCACATGCAGGTATGCAGGTACATTGCACTGACTCCAATATCCTGTTTGGACACATTCTTTGATGAGGTTCAGCTCCATATCCTCAGCTGAGGCTTTTTCTATTTCAGCGGGTGTCAAAGCACAAGGAACACTATTCTCAACCACAGCATGCACAAAGTCATAATATTCTCCGTCATTTCTTTGGAACCCACAATTTAGCCTAGACAAGGCATCTGCGATATTGGTCTTGCCTGGTCTGTAAACAACCTTAAAGTGATAGGCTTGTAGGCGAAGGACCCACCTTTCCACACGGGCAGAAGGCTTCGATTTCTGCGAATACATGTACTCCAGAGGCTTATGATCCGTCTCAAGCTCAAACTCCCTGCCGAAAACATACCTGTTAAAGCGTTCGCAAGCCCATACCAGGGCTAGGGCCTCTTTCTCTGTTTGGCTGTATCGCCGCTCCACGTCAGACAGGCGTCGCGAAGCACACCCAATCACACGCCACTCACTTCCATGTAGCTGGGTTAAAACCGCTCCAAGCCCCACCGGTGACGCATCTGCCACAATTCTTGTTCTGCTGTTTACATTGAAGTAAGCTAGGACATCCGCGTGCGTGATCAGCTCTTTTAACTTCTCGAGTGCCAACTGTTGTTCTTTTCCCCATTTGAACTCAGCATTTTTGTGGGTTAACCTCTGAATGGGTTCTGCAATGGATGACAGATCTAGGACAAACTTAGACACAATCTGGGCAAGAGTGAAGACCGAGGAAAGATCTGGCTTCACAAACATTCTGTGGAGGACCTGCCTGTCTGATTGCTGCGACGTTCTCTTCACTGGGTTCTATAACGGTCTGTGTTACTTCGTGACCAAAAAATGTCAACCTGGGTAACCTTAATTCACATTTGTCTTTGTTCAGTGTCAGACCTGTTTCCGTCAATAGATCGAGCACAGCCAAGAGCCTCTTATCATGCTGCTCCTCCCCTCGTCCGTGAATTATCAGGTCATCTGCTACATTAGCCACGCCTTCACAGCCTCGCAGTACGCCCTGGATGATTTGTTGGTATTTTTCTGGTGCTGAGGTGACACCAAACATGAGTCGGGTATATCTATAGAGACCACGGTGAGTCACGAACGTTGTCACATGTCTACTCTCGTCAGCTAGAGGTATCTGTTGAAATCGCCACTTCAGATCTACACGACTGAATACTGTGCTACCATTAAGATCTTGAAGCACTTCCACTATTGTAGGGATAGGCTGACGTTCCCTCACTATTGCTTGATTGGCACACCTCATGTCTACACAAATCCTGATATCTCCGTCTGCCTTCGGTATAACCACAAGTGGTGAGACCCACCCTGTTGGTCCTTCTGGGACTTCCTCTATAATTCCACTCTCCATCAATTCATCTAGCTTTCTCTCGACATTGTCTCGTACACCGAATGGAATCCTGTGGACTGGCTGCGCCACCGGCTTCACCGACTCATCGATATTTAACTTCAACTCGTAATTCCTAAGAAGGCCAACACCGTTGAAAAGTTCTTTGTACTTTTCTTTGATATCAGCTTCTGTATTGACAGCATTAACGGCATGGCTAGGCCCAAGTCGTAGCAAACCAAGTTTCACTGCTGTTTCTCTGCAGAGGAGACTTCTGCCATCTCCGTTTATAACTACAAAATCAGTTTTGCAGGTCACACCAGTGTCAATGGACATTATGTTTGCTGTAAATGTTCCGAGTGTTGGCAACGGATTTGTACTTCAATAAGGAAATAAGGATTTGGCCTCCTTTCGGGTCTCACACTGGATTTTCTGTGACTTAAGCCACTCCCAAGTTCCTTGGCCTAAAAGGTTGCATGTTGCTCCGGAGTCAACAAGAACATTTGGCAAATGAACACCTCCAACTACAACAGTTACTATTCCACTCTCTTCAGTCGAGCCCATCCCCCACCGAAAACATATAGTTAGGTGTTGAGTCTTGTCCTGATTTAGGGCTACTATCAACATAATTTGTGTTTGTCTTTCTGCCTATTTTATTCACACTAGATGTATTTCTCCAATCACGCCAACCGTCACCTTGTCTTTGCCCCGGATGGGAATCCTTAGCGAACTTCTTACAACGCTTGACCTTGAAATGTCCAATTTCTCCACACTGAAGACACTTTCTACCTCGAGAAGGACATCTCCAATCCCTGGCTAAGTGATCCTCTCGA